GGTTTTCTCTATGATGTGTAGGACTGACACCAAGTTCCTTGAACTCTTTAGGACCCAGCCCTTTGAACCTGCTGACATTCCTACTTTGCTAACCAACCTGCCCAGTTGGCAAATACAGTTCCATGTGCCTAAAATTACCTTCCCCCTCTTCCATGTGGCTTCTCAGGCTCTGGGTATCACAGATCCTGGGCCATCTTGCCTGTTTCCCTCCCCACCTCTACCCCCAGGTATGACCCCGCAGTTCCCTGTGTTACTGTGTCATATGATTTGTCACTTCAGAAGATAAAACAACGTAGTGGTTGTTAACACAGGCTCTTTAGGTCAGACCACCTGGATTCTCGTCCTGCCCATGCCACTTAACAGCTATGTGACCTTGGGCAAGTTGCTTAACTTCTCTGAGCCTCACTTTTCTCATCTGTCAAATGAGGATAATAATGTCTCATAGGGTTATCATTAGGATTAAATAAAATAGTTCACATAATGTACTTAGAACAGTACCTGGCATATAAATGATCTCTCACTATTTAAGTGATAGTTATTATTATCACCTGTCTTCTAATTTCTTTCTGGCAGTCTCATCAGTCATGTGTACTGGATCAGGATCTTTTTTGTTTCCTATCTGTACTTGGAAGAGACAGGTATAGAGTTCGCTCTTGAGAAGTTTTTGCTGAATTAATGATGGAGAGGTAGATGAATGGATGATGGATGGATTGCTGGATGGATGGACGGATGGATGGATGGATGGATGGTTGGGTGGATGGATGGATGAGTGGGTGGATGGATAGATGACAGAGTGGGTTTATGGGATAGACAGGTAGATGGATGGATGAATAGGTGGATGGGTGGATGAGTAGATGGCTGGATGGGTAGATGGGTAAATGAGGGGTTTATGAGCTGGATGAATGGGTAGATGATCAAATGGGAGAGTACATAGACAACTAACAACCTGTTAAACTTGGTCCTGTTTAAATGGTATGAACAAAGGAAAACTGTGCCTGAAGTCAATCTTGTCAGCCAGTTGAAAAGAAGGTTCTGCAGTATGTGATTTATTAAGTTTCAGGGTATTGTTTTTTTTCCATTGTTTTGGGGTGGTTTTTTTTCTAAGCACAACTGTCTTCCTGCTCAGGATTTTTGGTTTCAGGCAATCTGTTACTTGCAATATCACTGTATCCTTGTAAATCTAGACCTTCAGTAAATCTTCTTCAAGGCTTAGAAAAAGCACACAGATAAACTGGTCGCAGAGTAAAGACCTGTGACACTTGCCCTAGAAGACTTTGCAGTTTAATTGGGAAAACATACTCAATTAATAGAATTTTGTTGATCACCGTCATCCTAGGGTTGCATTGAAGCTAGGTCAAGGAAAGCATTGGCTTTTGATGACATCCAGGATAACACAAGAGAAACTACTTAGAAGGGGTGGTCTGTGGTTTGAAGGTGAGGAAGGAGGCATGTTGCCTTGAGGATGTGGCTCAGGAAGAGTTGATTGCTGCAGGTTGAAAGCAGAAAAACTAGAGGCTCCAGACACCGAGTGCAGCCTGATCCCAGGAGCAGGTGGCAGCTGACAGTGAAACAATCCAGCCCAGGGTGGAGGTCTTTGACCTAGTGAGGAATGACCTCTTAGAACCTCAGGGTCGTCATCTAAAAGGAGAATAGGTTGACTTTTTTTCCTTTGGGTAGATACCCAGTAGTGGGATTGCTGGCTCGAATGGTAATTCTCCTTTTAGTTCTTTGAGGTATATCCATACTATTTTCCATAGAGGTTGTACAGGTTTGCTGTTGGGCGGGAGGGAGAGAGGAGGAGAGGCTGGGTGAATTCACACCTAATGTGGGTGGTACGCACTGTCTGGGAATGGGCACATTTGTAGCTATGACTTGGATGGTGCAAAGGCAATATATTGTAACCTCAGCATTTGTACCCCTCTAATATTTTGAAATAAAAAAATAAAAGGAGAATAATGATATCTGTTCTACAGGGTCGTGGAGGGGATTAAGAGACATAAGGCATGTGGCATCTCAGTGCCTCACCAAACGCTCAAGGTGCATCTGTCTTCCTTCCTTCCTAGGCAGTGCAGGCTAGTGCTTTAGAGCCATGCGGCCATTAAATCCAGTTATTAGCTGTGTGGTCTTAGGCAAGTTACTTTGTCTTCTTTGCCTCATTTTCCTCATCTGTAAAGTGGAAATGACAACAATGCCTACCTTTTAGGGCAGTTGTGAGGAAAGAACGAATTACTGTAGGATAAGGGCTGAGAACAGGGCCTGGCACATAGTGGGCGCTGCGTAAGTGTCTGCTCTTGTTTTACTCCTATTTGTATTATCCCTAATAAAGAGAAGAACACTTTATTCCTGGCACTGGAGTGGGAAACAGTGAGCCCTACATCTGGGGATGAGGTAGGGACACAAACCACCCTTTACTGAGCCCTGGCTATATTCCCGGTCTTTAGGTTAATACAATGTAATAGTAACTTAGATGAATGTAATATACATAAAATACTTTATATATTATATATCATATCTACTTCAAATATAATTTAAATCAATATAATCTAATGTTAATACCCATGATGACTCTTGGAAAGAGGTAATTATTTCCCCTAAGCATGAGATGAGGAAGCTGGGACTTGCAGATGTTTGGTGACTTGCTCAAGGCCATGCAGTTACTAATTGGTGGTACTGAAATGCTGTCTGAGCTGTCAGTCATCCGTGCCATCCACCATGGTGTGTGGATCAGGAAATAGAGGCCCAAGGGGAGGAATTTACTTGCCCAAGATGTCACAGTGAGCAAGCGAAAGACCTGGCATTAGAATGCTGGACTCATAGTTCGCAGCCCAGTGTTCTTGACACCATGGGGAACACAGGTGTCTATAATTCTTCTTCTCCAAATGGGTAATGAGCTTTCTGTCCCTGAGGAATCACATTTCCAGGCACTGGACCAGCTGGGTGGGAGGCAGAGGAATGATATCCTTATGGCACCAGCCCCTGTGGCTGGCGAAGGGGATTTGGTGACTTTCTGTGGGACCTTCCAGTCCCCATCCATCACGGTTTCCAGTTCTTCACCCTCTTTCATCCTCTAGGGCCGCTGTTCTTTCAGTCTAGGATATTGAACAGTTTTCTGCGTAGGCAGATCTTGCTGCACGGTGGCTTCTTGTCCCTAGCTCAGCCTCCTGAGTTGGTGCAGGGCTTTCCTTCTGCCAGCTTCTTACCTCTCAGTGTTGCTTTCCTTCTGGGGCTACAGGGTTGGGCTTTGTCAACAGACAACAGAAAGCCTAGGGGGCTTTGACCACTTCCTACTTGAGAAGGGGAAATTTGGGGCTCTGAAAACATGCTCCCTGACATGGTTATAAAGACGTTATCTTCCTAGGCCAAGTAAACAGGATAATGGCTGCAATTAATCAAATAATCGAAGAGAGAAGGAAACAATTCTTCTCTACTTAGATGGATTTTTGGAGACCAGAATCACCCAACAATTTTTCTCGATCCACAAATGTATCACTTTTTGTCAGTGTAGCTAAATCTGATGTGAAATAGAAAACATTCCCCTTTATTTTCTTGCAACACAAGAAAAGTTCTAGCAAAGGGAATATCATGAACTTATTTGAGTTTTTTGATTGCTCAGAAGCCAAAAGCTAGGAGGGACAGTAGAAAGAGATTGAAGGTAATGATTTTTTTCAAGCTCTCTTTTGGAGAGTGGAATTCTTAGCCATGTCAAATCTTAGGTGAAACTTCAATTTATAAAATAGGTAGATGGAGATGCTTGGATTTGGCAGATAGTATGGGGACCAGCACTCCCACCTGCTTGGTACTCTCCTTCTTCATTACAATGTGGCTGCTCTGCAGAACCTCAGGCTTCTGGGAAAATAGTTTGAAGACTAAGAATCTAGTTCAGCCGACCTCACTTAGGAGAAGGTGCAGAAATGAAGGCGCAGAGAGTTTGTTCAAGGTAGAGTCTGTTCAAGTCGAAGTTTGGAACTCCCTTTTAGTACACTGCTTTTTCATGGTAAGGTTCAGTTTTTTCTGTGTACCGGTGTGTAACAAACTGCCCCCAAAATCTAATGGTTTAAAGAAGAGCAATTACTTATTTTGCCCATGAGCCTTCACTTTAGGCAGGGCTTCAAGGGAATGACTTGTTTCTGTTCCAAGATGTTCAGGGTCTCAGGTGGGATGACTTAGTTGACTGGGACTAGGACGTTGGGGACATTCCTTTCTCTTCATGTAGTTTCAGGGCCTTTCCATGTGATCTCTGCAGCATGGTGGCCTCAGGGAAATGGGGCTTCTTACGTGGAGGCTCATGGTTCTGAGAGAGAGTTCTGGACAGAGCTGTGAGGCTTCTTTTCTACCTAGTTTGGAAAGTCCTGGAATGTAAGCCCTGCCACATTCGAATGGTCACACAGGGTTAGCCCTGATTTGATGTTGGGAACACTACACAAGGACCTGTGTATTGGGAAGCAGGGGTCCCTGGGAGCCATCTCGGATTTCCTTGCTTTGGGCATGACCTTGCTGAATAGATTCTGATGTGATTTCACTTGGACTAGAGAAGACAGAAGGAGTAATTGTGGTGTTGCTTAGATCATGGGAACACTGTCAGGTGGAGGAGCCACATTTGTCCCCGACTGGTCCTGGGAGGCCACAGAAAGCTGATCCAAGACACCCCCCCTCCCCCAAAAAACCATAATTATATAAAGAAACTAGTTTTGGTTAACCACAAGAAAGAACTTTCAAACAATGAAAACAGTCAACTTGAAACTTGGCTTCCTCTGTGTGGGCTAATGAGTTTCCCTATCACAGGAGAGGTTTCTCTCATTTCTTCTACCACTGAAAATATCTGATTCTCCATGAAGACGATTAGTAGAGGAACTTGCATCTCCTTGAGCTTAGGGATGCTAAAATAATATATGCATTTCTAAGAATCAAGATTTCATAAAAATCTAATTCTTGTTTGTTTGTCTTTTCTTTTTTCCCTCTTTTTGGACATTTTCTTCATCTGACTGCCCATCAATATATAGAAGAAATGCTTATTCCTACTCCTATTACTTGTAAGTATCGAGCCAGTGTTAACTTTACTTCGTGCCCCGTAAGGGACCCTGTAGCATGCATTTCCTGCACCAGCCAAGTGTCTGTTGGTTTCTCATATTCACTTCTGTCTACGTCGTCTGTAGCCCAAAAGTTTTTATTTTACATAGTTGTGTTCCATTTGAAAATGCACTGTCTTTGTTCAAGTCTGTTATGTTTCTGCCATCCTGGAATTTTTCCCCCTATTTTTGGATATATGAAGGGCTTTTTCTCCTTTGGGAGTATAATTTTCTAGTTAGGAATCCCTGAATTCCAGCCACAGGGGGGACTCAATCCTCCTGTAGGACTTGCATACATAAGACAGATCTCAGCAACTTCTGAGTTTGCTTGTGTCTTCTTAGGGCCTAGGTAGTCCTGGGGGCTCAAAGGTTAGAAAGGGACTCATTGGCTGTTTATGCTATTTCAGAAAGTCTACGGGGTATCCTGACTTTATCTAGAACCAGCCTCACAGGTGACAGAAACATCCAACGTCTTTGCTTTGGGCTGGAATTATCTGTTTGGTGTTTAGCATTAGTTATCTCACGTTATCAGTGTATTTTGTTGGGAATTTTAGATGTCTGCTTTCCTATCATTTTTTTGCACTTGCTAAATAAAGGTTATTTTTAAATTAATAAAACAGAGATTCTTAAAACATGAGAGTAAAAGATAAAAAGTATGTACAATAGATCTTTGGTGATTAAAAAAAAAGTTAGAAAACCACTGAATTAGTTCTGCATCCCTAATATGCATTTTCTATTTTTGGAAATTGAGGTCCCTAGAGATATGTGAACTCATCACACATTCATCTAGTAAAAGAGTGAGACTAAAACTCAGAATGCCTGGATCCTAGTAAAATGTATTGCACAACACTGCATGTCTTCCCCTACCCCTGGCAAACCCAGCTTTATGAGAGAGGCCATGCCCATCAGCAGTTACCTGCTGAAGCCTTCACAGGTGAAGATGGAGCCAGCAAAAAGCTGCCTCATCCCTTCTGCTCAGTATTGGGTCTGCAGGTCTGTAGGGATGGTACCGCCAACCTCGTGTTATATAAGAACAAACGACCACCAATGCTGGATGCACCAGAGAACTTACTTCATTTGTTTATTTGCTTATTCCTCAAACATTCACTGAACATGCACAGTAAGTTCCAGACAGTGTGGATGGAGAAATGACTAGGACTTCCAGCCTCACCCTCACAGTGTGCTCAAGCCTGAGAGATTAGCATAAAATCAAACAATTGAAATACCACCTGAGAGGTGCCGGCACAGATTGTGGTATAGGAACACTTAGTTGAGTGACTAATTTTTAATTTGGCAGGGGACAGTTGTTAGAGTATTTAGAGATGCCTTTAGTCAATATTGAAAAAAATACAAATTCTGATGAGAGGAAACAGCATCTGCAAAGGCACGGGGGTGTGAAACAGTGCGGCGAGTCATTGCCGTGGTGGAGAGAATGAGTTTTTCAAGTCAGGCAGCTCTGGACTCAGGTTCTGCCTCTCACTCACCGGTTGTGAGCTTTGAGCAAATTTTCTAAACTCTTTGAGTCCCCTTCTTCTTAACTCTAAAATGAGAGCAACAGTACCTAATTCATAGAGTTACCGTGGAGAAGAAGAGATGAAAAGATTTTTTAAAGTGCCTGGTACAAAGTTGGCACTCCTGAAATGTTAGTTTGCTTTCTTTCCCCTTCCAGAAACCACAGGGGTCATGGCAGTAATGGCGGTCGCTGGGAGCCCATCTAGTCATGCAGGGGTCCTTAGGGCCTCAGTGTTCCACGGTGGGTGACCCATCGCAACCTCTGTGCACCTCGCCCCTCTGTCTGTTAGCCAATGTATGTAACATTGTCTTCAGGTGCCCACTGTATTCCATGCACGCTGCTGGGTGCTGTGGTGAAATCACAGATGAACAGTGTGGACGTGTAGAAGACAGATGTGGAGTGGAAATGCCCGTCATTCCAGGTGCAATGATAAACAATTGGTGCAGAGCTGAAGTTTTATGCCATGGCCCTAGAGCGTGCAACTCAGGCTGGCAGTGTGATGCAGAAGCATCTGGCTGGGACACAGGGTTCCCATAATAGTATTCATCATTTTATATTCACCAACCCCAAAGCACCAAGTGAATGTCACTGTAATATTCTGTCTTCTATAGAGAAGCCTTAGGTAGTTAGATTTTCTCTTAAGCACCATCTCCCTATCCCCAACCTCCTCCAAGCACTTGTGAGAGAAGATGAGGCATCTCCTGGAATAAGGCACTGAATAGGTAGGGTGTGTCTAACATCTGGACAAGAGGGGAGAAGGGAACCATCACCACATGCCAAGTACTTTGTACATACTTAGTTCAGTAAGTCCTCGTAATAGCCTAGTCTGCTAGGTACCATTATCCAAATTTAACAAAAGAGAAATTGCTCAGAGAAGGTAAATCATTCTCCCAAAGCCACCCAGAAGTAGATAGGAGGGAGAATGAATTATCTTGGAAATAGAGACATCTGCAGAGGGAGGGAATGGTTTGGAGCAAAGAGGATGAGTATGACTCTGGATATATTGGGCTGAGAATGCTGGTGGAGCTCCCAAGCAAAAGTGTCCCGTGGGAACTTGGAAATGCAGAGGTAGAGTTTGGGTGGGAGGTGAATGTTGGGAGACTTTATCTGAGAGGTGGCAGATGAAAATATGGGGTGGATGAAATTAGGCCTGGAGAAAAAATACAAGAACAGAGGGCTAAGGGCTGAGGCCCAGGAACTGACCAGGGTTAAAGATTCAGAGGAGGAGAAGCAGACAGATGGGAAGGAGGAAACCATCAGAACCAAGAGGTGGGGGCCATGGCAGGAGGAGGAGTTGGTTGGCCATAGCAGATGCTGCGGAAGATGGAGGTAGAGAGCATGGGCATGACCTTGACCTTGGCCAGTGGAGCCCTGAGCCCTCACTGCCCAGGATGGGTACCATGAACCTGCAGCATCGCATCCCCTGCAAGCTGGCTGGAGACACAGCATCCAGGGCCCCAGCCCAGACCTCCTGAATTAGAACCTGCAGCGTAACAAGATCCCCGGTGATTCATGTGCATGTCATGGTTTCAGAAGCACTGACTTAACCAGAGTCTCACTTGTCTCTTCTATAAAATAGGAAACATAATACCCTCCTCACAGGGGTTGGGAACCCTCTGGTCCCTCCAAAGGCCCCAGAATCTTCCATGAAAGAAAAAACCTTCAACACACTTAAAAAAAAAAAAAATCAGGCCCCCAGGTCCCAGGTTGCTAATCCTTGCCCTACACTTTCAAGAGTAGGGAGAGGATGAAGCTCAACATTCACCCTGCTTTATTGAGCTCCTACTGTGTGCTGCATCCTGTGCTTGGTGTTGCAGACACAAAGGTGAGTAAGGTATACTCTGTACAAGCCTACAAAAGGACAGGAATTACCAACTGGTCCTTACTATGCGTCAGACTCACCTAGTGCTTATAACATGTCCTGCAACACATATGTTATTGTGTTGATTTTATTCAGATGTTGAGGCTGAAATTTGAAGACTCGTCTATATCCACAGCCAGGCTGCAGCAAGGCAAAGTTTGAGCCCTACCCGTACTTTTCCCTGGGCTCTGTTCTTCAGCGGGCAGAGCCATTCCTGCCTGCATGTGCTCGCAGAGCCTAGCCAGGTCGCAGGAGATCCAGCCTCCAAATGCAAGTCTGTCTGCCTGTAGAGACCCATTTCTGTCTACAGCCGTCAGGGCCTTGCTAGCAAGAAGAAGTGGTAGCTATTTCTGGGGCGGCAGGAGGCTCTTGGGGCGACCTTGTCTCTGCTGTCCTGGGGATTGGCCGCGTGGTGTGGCTGTCTCTGTGCACAGGTTAGCATGCTAAGGGGGAATCAGAGCTGAGGGCCCTGGGCTGCTGCAGCAGAGGAAGCCACAAGGTTAGAGCGAGAGGTGACCAAAAGAGTGCAAATGACCGGGATTAATAATGGCCCAGTAAAAGTTGAGCTGCCAATAAAAGGATTGGGGGACCTAGGGACACAGGAGAGTTTAGGATAGGGCCCTCATCCAGGACACACACTCACTCACACACAAATGACAATAGCACGGGTTTGGGTGTCAGACCTACATCACAATTCTAGGTCTGCTTCTCCTGCCAGATTGTTTTCACCTTGAACAATCATGGAACCACCCTGAGCCTCTGTTTCTTCATCTGCAACAACAGCGACTTCCCAGCATTTTGGCGAGGGGTGATGACAGAATGTATAGAGAGAGTGGCTGGCACATAGTAGGTGTTTTACAAATAACAGCTACTATTCCTCACATTCTAAGCTGACAAAAAATGCTTCTCTAGAGCTCCTTTTTGCCTTTCTGTAGTAAAGCAGCACCCAACAAGTGCAATTGTTCAGTGTTTGCCTTTTAAAAGGATATTAAGAGTTGGCATGTGTCCACAGGTTAATTTACCTCAAGGTGTGTGATGGGCACAGTAATTGTTTTGAACAGAGACATTTTAGTGCAGTAGTTCTTTAAAAAGCACTAAGATATTTACCAACCATTCTGGCTGAGAGAGCACTTAACTATTTCACTTAGCCTTGGGCAAATACCTTGTGCAATATCTCAGAGACAGAGAACTGTGACCTGGGCTGGTTCCTGTCTACAGATACTCCATAGGACTCTTGGGCTTTTCCTGTGTTCCTCCTCCCTCCCCCACCATTTCAGTATATTCAAATTCTCCATCATTCCTCAAGGTCCAGAACAAATGCTGCCTCCTACAGGAAGTCTTTCCTGATTCTCCCCATTCTGTAGGAATGGCCCTTTCCTCTGAACTGCAGTCGCTTTGTAACATGGGCAGGAGCAAATGTATCTTAAGGATGTTTCTTGTTCATTAGGGTGCTCTCCATGGTACCCCTAATGTATACAGCGAATCCCCAGTAAATGCCTGTGGAATGAGTGAAGGAACGAGACGAAATTAAAATACATAACAGCTAAAGTCAACAGGAAGATGCTCTGTTCTTAAAAAGGAAAAAAAGAT